GTTCTCTCGGCCGATCGTTCAGACACCTTCCGGTCGTTCCGACATATCAAGCGCCGCATGAAAGGGGGGTCCTATAGAAAACTTCCCGGGAGCAGGTGGCGTACCTGTTTCTATGTGGAACTCTACAATCCGTTGATGACTGCGTTTTCAGGGGGTTTGTAGATTTGGTGAGGCTGAATAGTTTGAATGGTGCCAAGAACAGGACACGAACTCCAACACGTTTTCCGATTTTCTGAAGCCTGTGTGATATCTGGTGTTTGTACGGAATCATGGCTATCCTTTCACGTTCTATATCCGTGTACTCGGATTCTGTCGCTGCCTCTCCTCTGCCCCATTAGTCCGCAGTATAGTCTCAGCAACGGAAGCGATAAACGCCTCGGGGAAGCCCGAAGCCTTCAGCCGGGAAACTTGAGCTTTGAAGCTCGCAGAAATATTATGGGTGCACGACATATTTAAGGCATTCTCAAGAAAGGTTCAGGCTATGCCTCGCTTAACTAACTTGCTGTGAGCGGAAGAAAAAGGAAGTAGAGGTTTTTGCGCACGTGGTTCATAACACCAACATATGTGGTGTGAGCTAAAAACCAGTCTTAAAGCCAAAAAGTGTAATTGTCATTCTCGGCCATTTCATGTGTCAACACAAAAGGTTTTAAACAATCTTCGAACACACCTATTGTTTGAGTCACAAACAAGTGGAACATGGAACAATTACAATTTAAAAGAATCAAGAAATCGTCCACGTATCTGGATACTTTGACAACATGCGAGCCTTCTAACTTTTTTTGCAGTTTTTTGCCCATCTTTGCCAATAGAAGATTTCTGAGTAGAGGTGCTATGCATGAGCCGATTGAAACGCCCTTTTTCTTCTGATAAATGCAATCATTCCATTGAACGAAAGTATACATAAGGTACAGCAACACCAGGTCAAGAAAATCTCACACACTAAAGCCAGTTTTTAATTGGAAGTTCAATTCCCTGAAAATCTCTATGTTATCCCTTATACATTCTAATACCTCATCGTGAAGCAGATAGTAGTATAGGGTCTTGATGTCAATTGAAAAACCAAAAAGATTACATTGATTTGACTGTCTGAAAAATTCTATCAGAGCCTGCGAGTTTTTGATCAAAAATGGGTCATATACCCTTGGAAACTTTAGATGGGTCTGATTAAACAAGCTGAGTTGCTTTTGCCACGTACCACTTTCTGTCACATTGACATGGAAGAGCATGTCAACCTTATGTGTTCTGGCCGAAAAAACATGCTAAGCGCATTGTTGTCACTTTTGCTGATGTGCTGCGCTATCTGTTTTAACTCTAGTTTACGACACATTTTCTTGATCGGCGTTTCTACTCTATCTAGACGAATGTTGGTACAACAATTGAAAACAAAGTCGATAGCTGTGACCGCTTTTTCTAGGTACAAGCAATTAGAAAGAACGGCGAAACCACTCTCCTTATCTGACGGCATGACACAAAGTTCACTGTCTCTAAGAAACTTGGTCGTCTTCCGCACCGGAAGGCTGTTGCAGGTAGACTTACCCCGTAGGAGCACGTCGACGCCTTCTGAGATGCACCTGTCCCAATCCCCCGGTTCGGCCAGGTGCTATCGGCCATGGCATACGGGTGTGCGAAATTCTTCGGTCTGAATGGCACCGACAAGAGTGCACGTACAGAGACGCCCTGCATGTCCAGCTTCAACAAACAGATCTAACACCGGGAATGAAGAAAACAATATGGCGAGAGTACTGCGACTGAATCTAGTAGACTACAAACTGCCTGTCGTCACGTGAGCTCACTAGCCTTCATGCGCAGCGCCCAACAAAGCACCGGAAATCAGGTGCGGTCCACTCATGCAGAGACGTCGTCCTCCCAGACTAAGTCCACAACACCCTTGCCCTAGGTCCGAAGTTCGCCGTCGACCGAGAGAGGTCCGCACCCGAGCTTCTTTCAATGGTGCGCTCTGTTGCTGGCCACGCTTCACCAGAGGATTCAAACAGGTGCATCTCAGAAGGCGTCAACGTGCTCCGACGGGGTAGGCTTACCAGCAACAGCCTTCCGGTGCGGAAGACGACCAAGTTTCTTAGAGAAAATGATCTTTGCGTCGTGCCGTCAGATAAGGAGGGTGGTTTCACCGTTCTTCCTAATTGCTTGTACATAGAAAAGGCAGTCACAGCTATCGACTCTGTTTTCAAATGTTGTACCGACATTCGTCTAGATAGAGTAAAAACGCAGGCCAAGGAAATGTGTCGTAAAATAGAGTTAAAACAGTTAGCGCAGCACATCAGCAAAAGTGACGAAAATGGGCTCAGCATGTTTATTTCTGCCCAAACACATAAGGTTGACGTGCCCTTCCGTGTCATTGTGACAGAAAGTGGTACGTGGCAAAAGCAACTCGGCTTGTTTATTCAGACCCATTTAAACTCTCTAAGGATTGATGACCCATTTTTGATCAAAAACTCGCAGGATCTGATAGAATATTTCAAACAGTCAAATCAATCTAATCTTTTTGGTTTTTCATTTGACATAAATGACCTATACTACTCTTAGCCTCACGATGAAGTATTAGAATGTATAAGGGATATCATAGAAATTTTCAGCGAATTGATCCAATTAAATACTGGCATCAGTGCGCGAGATTTTCTTGATCTGATGTTGCTGTACCTTACGTCTACTTTCGTTCAATGGAATGATTGCATTTGTCTGCAGAAAAGGAGTGTTTCATTCGGCTCATGCATAGCACCTCTACTCAGTGATCTTCTATTGGAAAGGTAGGCAAAAAATTGCAAGAAAAGTTAGAAGGCTCGCATGTGGTCAAAGTATTCAGATACGTGTGGGATTTCTTGGTTCTTCTAAATTGTAATTCTTCTATGTTCCACTCGTTTGTGACTCAAACGATAGGGGTGTTCGAAGATTGTTTAAAGCCTTTGTGCTGACACATGAACTGCCTGAGAATAACAAGTTACGCTTTTTGGATTTAAGACTGGTTTTTAGCTCACAGCAGATCTGTTGGCATTATGAACCACGTGCGCAGAAACCTCTACTTCCCTTTTCTTCCGCTCACAGAAAGTTAGTTAAGTGAGGAATAGCACGAAACTGTCTTGAGAATGCCTTAAATAGATCGTGCACCCACAATATCTCTGCGAGCTTCAAAGCTCAAGTTTTCCGGCTTAAGGCCTTGGGTTTCCCCGAGGCCTTTATCGCTTCCGTTGCTGAGACTATCCTGCAGACTAATAGGGCAGAGCAGAGGCCGCGACAGAATCCGATCAACACGGATACAGAACGTGAAAGGATAGCCGTGATTCCATACAAACACCAGATATCACAAAGGCTCAAGAAAATCGGAAAACGTGTTGGAGTTCATGTCCTGTACTCGGCACCGTTCAAATTAATCAGCCTCACCAAATCTACAAACCACCTGAAATTGCAGTTATCAAATGAATGTAGAGTTCAACCTAGAAAGAGGTACGCGGCCTGCTCCCGGGAAATTGTCTATAGGACCCCGCTTTATGCGGTGCTTGTTATGTCTGAACGACCGGAAGGTGTCTGAACGATTGGCTGAGAGAACACGCTAACAATGTTAGATACGGGAAAGATGTTTTTCTTGCTCAGCACTGCACTGAGTGCAATTGTGCGCCCCTTTTCAAGGACACAGCGACGCTGTACAAGCACAGAGATGAGCGCATCCGATTAATTGTCGAGGCAGCGCATATGGCACGCGAACAGGTGCTTTGTATTAGCAAGCCCTCCGTGGCTCTGTCCGAGAAGGAACTCAGGTTCCTCGAAGGTTCAGGTCGCGGGTTCAAATCCCGGCTGCGGCGGCTGCATTTCCGATGGAGGCGGTAATGTTATAGGACCGTGTACTCAGATTTGGTGCACGTTAAAGTACCCCAGGTGGTCGAAATTTCCGGAGCCCTCCACTACGGCGTCTCTCATAATCATATGGTGGTTTTGGGACGTTAAACCCCACATACCAATCAGGTTCCTCGAAGGTTTCGGTACGCGCAAGTATTTATGTTGCCTTTACTTTTTTGTTTTGTTTTTTTTGTAAGTTTTTCTTGGCCGTTTTTCTGTGCTTTTGTTTTTTGTCTTTGTTTTTCTCTTACTCATGTTATGCTCTTTGTGCCATATGGTTTTTATCACATGGTTTCTGTCTCCTCTATATATTTTCGGGCTCTGCGCAATAAACTCAGTTGGAAGTTTGTGCTCATGTCTTTCGTGTCCTTCTTGTTTTTGTGTCGTCATTTTGTTTTCGCGCTATAACTATCGTCATGCCATACCAACTTGCCCAAGCTGCCACACTTCTGTCAGGTGAGGAGAGAGGCGCGCGCCGAAAGTGAGTGCAAAACTAACGGGAGCAGAGTCACGCCAGCTGCATGGCGCTGTGACGTCACGGCACGGGAACAGGGTGCGAGTATGCGGCGCGGAGCACGCAGCCATGGCGCGGAGGCGGCATCTGCACAGCGCGCCATGACGTGGCGTGGAGATCGGGCGGGAGCCGGCGCGGGCGCGCGCAGCCACGGAGTGGAGGACGGAGCGCGCGCAATCACGTGGTGTGTGACGTCGCTGCGCCGATGCTACAGGCCAAAGCCACCTAGAACAGGTTAAGGCCTGCGCACTCCCTTCGTGACGTCACGCACCTTGCCCGAGTGGGCCGCGCCTCGCGAAAAAGTTTGTCTGCTAGCCGTCCAGGCTCTACTCACTTCCATGCACTAGATGTGTGTGGGGTTGCCTTCCACAAGTCGCAGAGTGCTAATCACATATATGTACTTTTCTGCCAAGCGTGCAGATATAAATTTGAGGGCAAGTTATGTCAAACTAAGACATGCTAAAAGAAGCTTTGATTATTGTGTCCGAAAGCCGTAGCGTTAGAAGTGTGCCACAATATGGTATGGCGCATTTCTATTTTTTTGAATAAAAAACAAATAAACTACGATCCAATATATTTCATGGAGACGACATCATTTATTTATTTTAACGTGAATCTTCAAGACGTTGAAGGTAGCTTAATTGAGCGTTTTCAGTTTCCTCTTCAGTGTTGCGCCCTTCTTTGCCGCCGTTAACTTGTCGGTTTTCATTTGGACGTAGTTTTTCAGTAAGGTGTTGGTGGCTGCCCACAAGATGTTGTGAAGCACTGTCTCCGGATGGTGTCCTTTGCAACAAATGTCCAAATCTTCATTGTCAATTAAAAGGTGCTTCACCACACTGAGAAGAAGCTGCCTTTGGTGCCGTGCTGCATGAAACCGGGCGGTGTTCTCTTTCGAGGTCAGCTTTTCAAGCACGATTTGTGTGTGCAGAACAGCACTTATTACTACTGGTTGAGGAAATTTTAGGGCCCCTCTTGTGAGGCCTTCGATTAGCATATCATCAACCATTGGTATATCCCTATCTTGTCTCGTGATGTTGGCCGCACAATCTTCACAGGGAATTTTCCTGAGAGCGGCGTGGGCGCAGTAACCTGCAATATACACTATTGCAGGCAAGCTCTCCTTTTTTGATTTCACGTCCTCTTCAGTCAACTTAATGCCATATTCTTCTATCACCTTGGCTGCATCAAACACAATACTGCTAGGTTGGGACAGTTCTTTCATATCTGGAAAAACCAGCGAGTTCTGAAGCCTCAGTTTTGCTTCTGATTCAAATATTTGTTGGACGGAAATATGGTAGTTGGATCCACATAGCCGACGGTAACGACCAAACCTCTCCTCGAGGCTGTCTGTCTGAAACTTTGCAAGCAAGACATATTCAAAACCTAGCTCCTCCAGGCAATACCGACTGACTTCGATCAAGGAGTATGACGTGAGACGTAGCGCCGAGTGCGTCTCCGTGGTTAACAGTCCTGCACGGCCAGGGCCAATCTTCAAGTTTTCCCAAGTGTCAAGCCAGTCCACGAATGCATTAAGAAACTGCAGCTGCATGTCCTCCATACTTCTTACGGGTGCTTGAAGAGGATTTCTTAGGTGCTTGCCTTTCGATGGTGTTTTAGTGTTCACAACGCACCACCACTTGTGTATTAATTCAATAAATTCAGCAGTTTCTCGGGCACAACTCAAACCAAGCTTTGCACCATAAGTTTTTAGTGCTTCTGCAATAAATGGACTGATCACTTTCAGTGCTAGCTTCACGTTTTGTCTTTCGATGTTAGAGGGGTTCAAAGCCTTATAAGTAAGTCCGTATCCAAGCTTCGAAAGATTGTGTTGCTCGGAAGCGTACAGTTCACGAAGTGTTTCAAATGTTGCTTTCTTCACTTGCACCTGTGATGTCGTACTTGAAAATTCGGGATAAAAAATGGAACATCCTTCATTTTTCTGGTTCAACCAGTTGTTACGGATGCACTTTAATAAATGCACGGTATCGACAACAAAAAATAGCGGCCTTGAATTGTCTGCTGGATGTGGGTAAACAATGTCTATTGTGTTATTTTTTGAAAAAAAATGACATTACTTTTCGGTTCACAGCGTTGTTATCAGTGATAACGGCAATTACTGTAAGTCCCGCTTTTTCAAGACCCAAAATTACTTTTTTCAGGATGTCGTGCAAATGGCTGGCTTCAATGCTGAAAACGGGAAGGATGTGTACCACATCTTTGTGCGCAGAAAGCAATGGATTTGTCATGAACACGTGTGCTGTTTTTGCCGCTTCAGAGGAATTCGATGCCGTCCCTGTTAATGAGCCATCCTTATACTCAAAATATTGCTGGATGTGGATTTCATCTAACATGAGCGTTACGACTCTTTCGTGTGGCTTTAGAAGGCTCACTTTTTTTGTAATGTACTGCAAAAAGCCTTCATTGCTTTGTTCGTTTGCAGGACTTGCATAGTACTTGCTGCACAGCCTTAATATTGTGGAAGGATGAGGTAACATTAATTTCCCAGTGTTGCGAACGAATTTGTATGCGTGAGGAGAGATCGTATGAAAAATGCTAGATAATATAAGAATATCTGAAGAATATCTCATAGCTCCTCGCTCTTTAAGAAGAAGGCGCATCTGTTCCTTCAGAAACTCGAACGCTTCTACTTTCTCTTCTGGTAGGAGGTCACCATCAGACAGGTCATCAAAAATAGAAAAAATAATGTGGAAGCAGGCTTTCAATTTTTCTTCTTTTTCGCAGACGTCTGGAGCATTGAAATGCTCCACACTTTCAAGAATAGTGTACAAGCTCCGAATGTCCTCTAGTTTTTCAGGAATGGGAACATCAGCAATGTGCAGCTTCATCTTTTTCCAGTAGGCAGAAATGTGCAATTCATCGGAAACAACCACAGAACGTTCCACCTCTGGAGGTAGTGTGTTCCTCTGAATATGCAGAAACATAACTGCAGCTTCCGTGCTGCTCACTATCCAATAGTCCGACAACTTAAGTTGTGAGAGTTGTGACACGAGCTGCTCGAAAGATGCCACTCTATTCTTGCGTTCCTCCTCTTCGTGCAAAACAAGCGACATCTGAATGCCCGTTAGTAGCTGGTCTGCCTCACGGTGCTTCCGTTTTGCGTCAGGCTCCTTGCGAACGGGAGCACAGTCGGATAGATAAGCGGGGCTGTTCGGAAACATCGTCGGCACTGCATCTTCGGTTAGTCGAGTAAGGCTCATCGGAACTTCTATAGTCTTTCCGTTGCTATCCGTGTAAGTGGTGGTAGTCCTCAAATACTCTGCTTTAAAATGAAGTTCGCAGACCTGCGATATGCAAAAGCAAAAAGAATGTTTTAAAATATTTTAGCAACATTTTATATATGTTTTTCTGCCTGATTACATTCTAGAACGTTATGATTAGCAAGGATTGAAATCTAGAGTGACGCTGCTCCGTAATGCACTGCACTAGCACAGATCTGCGACACAGAATTCGCTTTGTGTGAAGGTTTATTGGTAAAAATTTTGAATGCTTACCTTCGGATCACGCAGAGTGTCGATGTCGACGTCCTCGCAACGAATAGCACGTTTCCATTTTATCCTGCGGTCGTCTTTAGGGAAGGAGAACAAGCGGACCTTTGGTCCACCGTCATAATTTCCACGACAGTTCGGCACGCAGCAGCGGCCCATCCTGTGAACTTCCTGGTAATTTCACGCGAACAAACTTCACTGCTTGGACTCCAGATAACACAGCCAGGGCCAAAACTTGCACATATCTCCGAATAACGTCCAACAGCACTATTTCAAAATTCTTGTGCAGCGTAGAACCTCGCTTTGCCAGGGTCAAACAAGTTCTAACAGGCTCGCCCTAACGAAGGGAGTCACTGAGCCTGCATTCCCCAACCGGTCCTCACAATGCCCACCAGTTCGTCGGGCTAGGTGTGCTGACGTCAGACAAGGAAACGAAGGGAGTGAAGGGGCCTTGCAAATTCTAGGAGGCGCTGTACAGGCGCTCCTCTCCGCTCCTCGTGCCATTGCTAGGGGAGAGGAGGAGGCATACCGCGGACGGGAAATTCAGGGTCGCTTATAAAGTGCATTCGCCCCTAAAACTGCTTAAGATTCGGCCAAAAGGCTGAAAGGATGCTAGTCAAATCTTCGTTGCCGCGCCTGGGGCAAAAGCCACTCCATAAGCGAATCCTCGATAACATCAGAAAAGTGCTGCCTTTGTGAAGGGAGTCACTGAATAAACCATTCCAAATATTCTGCTTGCTCTCAGGAAATAGATATCCTAGAGATTATAGGGAACCTGCGCTGGAGTTTTCACGGCCACCCTGGCGGTGAGAACGCGCACTTCTTGGCTGCTCCCGCAGACGAAAGTGGCGGCTGCTAGAGGCGGTGCGCGCGCGCATCACCGTAACAAAACCAAAGGGCGCTGGCGGTACTGCTGAGTATTGAAGTGCAACAATATATAAAAAGGGGGAGGGCGTATAGAGGCAAGGGAGGGTGTGGAAAAATGAAGCGGCGTAGCATTCAAGCGTTCAGGCGAGCAAAATTCTGCTGTCGCTCTACTGTCTAGTGCTGTCGGGCTCGTTTCGAAAGCGAACGGCGCGCATCTGCTATATTTATTCGATAGTGAAGACAGGAACCAGTGGAAACGAGTGCGCCAAACAGTCGAGTTTAAACGGCGTTTTGCCGGAAATGAAACGATTGAGTTATGCACAATGCGGCATATGTAAACTATTTTTTTTATCTGGTCCGCTGAGCATTGAGTCGTGCACTTCAGAACTAACAAAGTGTCCATGCGTCCGCCTATCTGACCACCGCAACCAAACTCCATCTGATGCCACCATGTGAAGTGAATGATACGAAAGGCAGGTAGCCTCACTCTTCCTTTTTTTTTACTTGTAAACAGTTGCGTGTAAAGGAAAGCTGCCGTATCCACAAGCCTTGTGCGTGGCCACGTTCACCTACGCCTCTGAGCTGTTATAAGAGATACTCTCGCGGTGAACACTCGATGCCGAAATGACTCTGTTTAACTGAATTTGTGCAAAAGTAAGGGCTCTTGTTACTAACAAAGCAGCGGTCTACTCGAAGCTTAGATTTCTGGAATCAGGCGATGCGGTAAGAGTTTTTCTCACTGACTGCCAAGGCTAAGTAACATCAGAGTTTATGCCTTGCTAGAGAAGCATCAAATGTCTTCGATTTTTTTGTTGTTTAGTTCGCCTAACACCCAGTTTCAGTGTTTCCGCATGCCTGTGTCATTCTAAAATGAAGGTGTCTGTTCAACATCGATAATTGTTAGGCTTTCATGCGCCAAACAAGATATCGTTGTGGGGCACGCTGTGGTGTGCGTATCCAGATAGTGACCACTTGAAGTTCTTCAAATGCGCACTTATATCTACAAGTGTCGTCTTTTCATATTTCTCTCCCACCGAAGTGCGGCCGCCGTGGTCGCTAATATACCCCGTGCCCTCAAGAATAGCAGTACGAAACTACACGTGCTATGCTGCCCCGGTGGTTTGCTTGATCAACGCCCCCGTGCATACATACCGCGGACAGGGTGTACGAATTATGCCAGAAAAAAAATTGACGCAGCTACCACTTACTCTGCTTTAGTTTTTATTTTGTTTTACTGCAGATTTTGGCAGCGTGGTATCGTAGCAGCACAGACTTATCAATGGGGGCATGTCAGCCAGCACTAGCATTAACCCAAAATCTTGTACGCAACCAGAAAATGAGGACGAGGGAGCTGCCATCAGGGCACAACCCTGTCCATTTGATACTATATGCATAACCGCAGTCCGCTTGCAGGGCTTCTCTCCGTCTTTCAGTGGTTTTTATGTGAAAGCATCCTTCGGGCAAAGTTATTTTTCTAAACCACAGTGCAGTATTACTGGCGCTATGTCTTTTCGAGCTGCTCGTTCCAAAATGAAGCACGGCAGCGGCGCATGAGCGTGCTCTCGGAGTGGTACACTGCGACCGGTCGTCTGGGCGCGAGCTGCTGAGTTGTGCCGCGACCCTCCACCAGGTGCTCTTTTTCGGCGCGCCACTTATCCAGCGCTGGTCCCCCATAGACTGCCGCCACTGTTCGCGCAGGGAAGCTATTGATATAGTTAAAGACAGGGCCTTCGGCTATTCTGGTGCAGCAGTACGACACATGTCTAGTCGAGACTCCAACCTTCACAAGCCATTGAATCTGCCGTCGAAAAGGAAATGGTTGAGGCAATGGATAAGTTAATATCTAACCTGAATGACTGTTTAACGCAAATTCTTTCAAATCTAATGATACAAGGAATGCAAGCTCAGGCTCCAACAGTTCCTGAACAATCAGACACCATTAACGCCACTGAACTAGATAGCATGGTGCTGGATAAATTGATTGATTTGTGGGGTTTAACGTCCCAAAACCACCATATGATTATGAGAGACACCGTAGTGGAGGGCTCCGGAAATTTCGACCACTTGAGGTTCTTTAACGTGCATCCAAATCTGAGCACACGGGCCTACAACACTTCCGCCTTCATCGTAAATGCAGCCGCCGCAGCCGGGATTTGATCCCGCGACCTGCGGGTTAGCAGCCGAGTACGTTAGCCACTAGACCACCGCGGCGGGGCGTGCTGGATAACTTGTCTACATGTGTTCATAATACTGAGCAACCTGTTCCACAAGTGCAGACATACCGTTTTACGGCTCAGCTACAGATGTAATGCTACAGATATTGAAATTTAGGTGCGAGCTAACCAACGTATACGATCGCCTTGCTCTGTGGGCTTAAAGTCGAAAACTGTGAAGAATGAGTTGTTGATTGCAAAAAAAAATACGAAGAAGGACAAGGCAC